AGAATATTTTTGCCTTGAAACCATCATTTTTTGGTTGATTAATTTCATTTAGTTATTTTCTGAAATTATTTGTTTTCTTTCTAAATGTTAGCCGGATGCAAATTCTAAACTGCAGATTCGAGAATGTAGAAAAAAAATCTTCAATTTACTTTTTTTTTCTGTGTGTCATTATTCCAATTGCAAATTACAGAAGGGAATTTGGAAATATTAAAATAAATCATCCCGTCAATTAAGTAATTGGGAAATAACGAATGAATTATCTAGCTAATCGGAAAATCGTCGAAGTCAGATCGAGATACGCGGCAGCGTATCGGCCAAGAAAAGTTTTGACTCCGATTGTACAAAACATCAGGCCGATCGCTGCCGTGTATCTATACACGAAGCAACTACCCCCTCCACTACCTCCGAATCATATCCATTAAATAAAATACAAACGTGACGAGCTACATGGAAAATACTCTTAGTTACATTATCTAAATTGTCTACAAGCTTCTCATTGATGTTACTATTTTTTTGTTCGAAGCAATATTTAAAAAAATACGCGCATAGCAACGGGTTCATATGCACATTCTCGCATTTCACATCAACTCCTATCATTTTTTTGTTACGGAGTTGGTAGCAGTGCAATACAACCACACGTACCAAGGAGGGAAGCCCGGGCATTTACAAATTGAATATGGTGCATGAATGATGAATTCCACAGATATTTTTCATTCGAGTTTCGTGCACAAATGAAGTCTCGAAGAAGCAAATTCAGTCGGAAAATCATGAATAAATAATTAAAAGTCGGTGCAAATAACGACTGTGGAATAGAACTATTTGTTTTACTTCGATTGTTAATTGGAAAGATGATTTATCGTGTGAAAAATAAATGAGCCGAATTGAATTGAAAATGAAAAAATTTACAGGATATAAAAACGATTCCTTGTTTATTTTGAAAAAAATAATGAAATCTCCCTAAAAAAACAAAAACACATGTTTTTGTAAAAAAACTGCGCCAAGAAAAAGTTTTGTTTGGTTCTTACTGGGAAGTAGAAATTTTTGAAAAATACAAAGAAATGAAAAAGAAAGCCAAGTCAGCAATGTCGAATAAACGAAAATAATGCACAATCAGATTTCTATAAGAGAAATAGTTTCAAATCGAATGAAAATTTTAAAAAAATTCTTGATGAAATAAAAAATTAGTAGAAGGAGGACCAACGTTCTTGGCGCGGAGTTTTTCAACTCATTGTCTAGTATCAATCTAATTCTCCATCTTCTGATCCACGCCAAGAACGTTGGTCCTCCTTCTACTAATTTTTTATTTCATCAAGAATTTTTTTAAAATCCTCATTCGATTTGAAACTATTTCTCTTATAGAAATCTGACTGTGCATTATTTTCGTTTATTCGACATTGCTGACTTGGCTTTCTTTTTCATTTCTTTGTATTTTTCAAAAAATTCTACTTCCCAGTAAGAACCAAACAGAACTTTTTCTTGGCGCAGTTTTATTACAAAAACATGTGTTTTTGTTTTTTTAGGGATTCAAAATTATCAGCTATAATACACCAAGACCTTCAAAATTATCGGGTATTTCCCGAATGTTTTGTTGCATAGCAACGAGAGAGATCAGTTTTGCAGATTAAAATCCCGAGCGCATAGCGCGAGGGATTTTACTGCAAAGCTGATCCCGATCGTTGATATGCAGGAAAACTTGAGGGAAATATCCGATGACTTTTGAAGGTCGAGGGGTATTCGGAGGACAATTTCTTGAATTCTGATTTTGGCCGATCAGGGTGCAGTGTTCGAGGTTACGGGACACATTTCACCAAAATGTGAGGAATATCTGTTAAATTCGTAGAAAACAATTGACAGGCTACAGGGAAATTATCAGTCTGATAATTTCCCTGCAGCCGAGGAAATTATCAGTGTGAAACGCATCACGTGACTGCGAATACTGCACACTGATTGGTCAAAATCAGAATTGAGGAAATTGTCCATGTAATTTGGAGAACTACAATATGAGATTACTTGCCCATTCCACTAATTCGGTATGGTGAATATCTGCGAAACTAAGGGAAATAGTGAATTTTTACTGAAAGTTTGAGGAGGAGGGTTGTACATGGAGAATTCAATAAAACTTCCTACCCCCTCCCGCCCCAAATTTCCAGTAAAAATTCGCCATCTCGCCTTATTTTGAAGATATTTTTGAAAAATCTATCGACTCAATTTTCTTGGTTGTGAATTCTCAAAGCACCTCTCTTCCCCAAATTTTCGTAAAAATTCACGGTCTCCTTTAGTTTCGGAGATATTTTGGAAAAACTCACCAACTCAATTTTAAAAGATTGTGATTTCTCAATGCCCAATCTCCTCCCCCCCCTCTCCCTCTTTGCAAAATCACCCCTCCGCACATCTGAAATTCCCGATATTTGGGCACCCCACCGGATGTATGGGGCACTTACGCCCTTTAAATACTTCGGTTGCAATTTTTTAGTTCAATCTGGAAATTTTCTAAAATTAAGAAAAATTCAGTATTGGCTTTAGAAAATATTTGTTTCTAAAAACAATCCCCGAATTTATTAGTTTATATGATCCCATCAAGGATAAAGTTTAAGAACAAGAGTTTCTAAAATCTAGAAACTAATGTCTATACGTACTTTTGGCACAACTCACGAGAATTTAAATTTGTCAGATTACAAAATTGAATGAGTAATCTGAATTATTATCTGAGAAGTACTCGAATAATTTGTAATTTTGGAATCGAATATTGCAGTTACTCTATCATTCTATAATCTGAAAATAACGATTACGAAATTCCTTTTTTAGTTAGGAATTGGAAATTCCTAATCTCAGCTGTAATATGTAATTTACTCCAGCAAATTTTTTTTCCTTCCCAATGAGTATTTTTTGCCAAAAGACTTTTCAGTTACTGGAGGAATTCCGAATGGGCATTGTAAATTTTATATATGAATTCGATTTCATTTTTAATCACAATAAAATTTTGATGTAATTCTCGNTTATATATGAATTGGATTTCATTTTTAATCACAATAAAATTTTGATGTAATTCTCGTTGTAATTACTATCGATTACTATAAATTATCGAAACTGATAATCGAAAATCACAAATTAAAAATACGCAGTGGAATCAAATCTCTCCCAAAGAAATTTTATACATCACATAGATTTAGTAATTTTCAAGTAATTCGATTACAAATGTAATTCGAGGTTCCCATCAAATTCACAGTGAGTTTATTTGCATTTTCAATTTTATTGAACAATTCAATAATATGAGATTGATATCTCAATTCAAATGAGACTGCGCTATGCAGTGTTAATTCAAAAGGGTCTACTGGGGATACATATGCGTGTAATTAATATTGGACACCCGGTAGAATCGCGGACGATCATTTCTGCTATACGGAATGAATGGTGCCATGTGGGACACATGGCACCATTCATAATCAATATCGACTACAAATAAAACGGATGCAATTTCTACTCTACCGACACTGTTTGAACGACTGCAAGGATGGTCTACAGATGTGGTTGTGTACAGTTGTTCTCTCACATTTTTCACCAAGTTTGTTGATAGTCGGGGAGGTGAACAGTTGTGGAAGGACAAACGCCCCCCCCCCGCCCATTGCTGTGTGTGGACTTCAAAGTGGTGAACTGCCCTCTCGTGGAGAAAATACGTGTGCTCATATAGATGTGGACATTTAGGCTCTGACCCGACTTTTTTCTGGCCATCGTCAATACTGCCTATCACGAGTGATGGTTAGATATAATCGTTGAGAATATTTTATGCAGAATTATCATACAAGTTTGCAGAACTTTGAGTTGACCACGGTAAACCATTCCAAGGGGTAGTTGACCCCCTGAAAGGGTGGGCTGGCAGAAACCTTGAAAGATGGCTATTTGGTTTTTCGATTTTATATCATCGGCACCGATTTTTAATGAGATTCAGCCAAATTGAGAGTTTTTACACCGAAATGATGTATAAAAATAGTATATTTCGATACGATTACGAGAAAGTCTTTTTGGGCTCGTGGGAGGTTTATAGCACGAGCCGAAGGCGAGTAATATAATCCCACGAGTCTAAAAACACTTTTCCCGCTAGTATCGAACCCTATTTCTCATCACAATGTGTGGGAAGTGGGGTTTTACGCACGCGGAGCGTGTGTAAAATGTCACTTTACCCAGCGGATGATGAAAAACCTATTTTTGTTCAATAAAGTATTAAAAAAGTCAAGCCATGTAAACGAAACCTATGGCGATAATGGTGATTGAATGTAGAGAAAAAACGGAGAAAAGATAGCGGAATTTTCGGGAAACCGCGGAAAATCATTTTTTTGAATGAACTTTAGACGCCATTTTCAACTCTCTCTATAGCCGAATTGGTACGTAAAAAATATGTGGTCAATCATTTTTCATGTAGAATTACATATGCCAAGTTGAAAAAAATCGGTGAAGTACACGTGAGGACCATTCTTTGTAAATAAAAACAAAGAAAAAAAATCTATTGCAAGGCTATTTTGATATCGGTTTCTTGAATATCGCTATTTTCGTTAACGATATATCAAGACATCGATTTCTCCTGCCACGATTTTTATCGATGCACAATATGGATATTTTCTCGATATCGAATATTCCCACTTCTTTCAGTCAAATGATTACAAGAGAAATATATATAAGAGTGTAGACTGGATGCGTTTTCTCTGTTTGTATCGACGCTTAGCAACGCTGTTTCTATTCCCTCCTATTTCAATTCTCCACCGAGTTTCATTTCTAGTTTGGTTACTTGCCAAGAAACATTTATAGGTAAGTAAGCTTTCAACTTTGGTTCCCAACAAAAAACGTACCACGAGATTCGATCCTGCGAGAACGTTTCACGACTTTCATTCCGACTTTCGGTCCTGGCTTAAAACCTCATAGTTTCGTTTCATGGCTTGTCTCTGTTAGAAAATTAATATTTGAACGCGTTCCAAGTCTCTGATTTTTTATTATCTTTCTAGCAAGAAATAGCTTCAAATTTGGTGAAAGAAAATGGAAAAACTATGGCTGACGCTGAAGGAGATGTTCTCCGCGGTCTTCGTGAGTAAAGAATAGTATATTTCTAATTTAGGGGGGGAAATAAAGGGTCAGGCCCACTTGCAAAATTACCACCCGAACCGAAGGCGAGGTAAACACGTGGGTAATTGTCCTTTATTTTACCTCCCATGGTTAAAACCGTCTTTTTTACCTAGGCCTAAGCGCTAAGTCAGATTTCTCTTTCGCGAAGTGGAAGGAAAATATATACTTTGCGCCGACTGGGGCGAAATAGTATATTGTGCACCAAGTGTGGAAAGTCATGTTTTCCCCGCTCGAGGCGCACATGCTATTTTCTCACACATCTGCAAATAATAGTACATTGTGCATCAAGGACGGAAAGTCAAGACTTTCCGCCCGAGGTGCACATACGATTTTTTAACATGCCTGCAAAGGAAAGTTCGTATTTTGCTCGTTGATGGGCGGGAGGAAAGTATTAGGTGTATAAATTAATTCTCGGCCTTTTATGGAAAATTCCAACATTTATGTATAAAAAAATGAATACAGATCTAATCTTGAAAATAATCACCGTCATTTTGCACGCATTTCAAGGCTATTTTGATATCGATTTCCCCCATCTATCGGGCAATTCTCGGATTACCCTCGGGCAAGGCTCGGAAGAAAGATGATGGTTTTGACTGGATGAAGTCATCAATGCTTTGCCGGACTTCATCAGGAGATCGAAACTGGGTATCCACCCGGTCATGTTATAGCGTCCGAAAAAGGTGATAGTCAGAAGGCGCAAGGTCTGGAGAATACGTCGCATGTGGGAGAATTGCCCAGCCCAACGTGGAGATAACTTTCAGGGTTTCTTTTGCCGTATGTGGCCGCGCGTTGTCCTGCAGCAAAATCACTTGCCTCGTACCACTACCAGTAAAAGGTTTCTTTTCCTCAATAGCATCACTTAATTTCAGCAGTTGGTCGTGATAATGCTTAGCAGTAACGGTTTCTCCCTGTTCGAGTATCTCACAATAGATTACACCTTTGGAATCCCACCAAATACAAAACAACAATTTTTCCCGTGAATGTTCGGTTTTGCAGTACACGTTGATGGCTCCTCCGGATAAACTCACGACTTTCACCTCTTAGGATTGTCGTAAAATATCCACTTTTCATCCCCAGTCACAATTTTATGTAAAAATCCTTTTTGTTTGAATCTGGTCAGTAGGCACATTGCAATTTCACAGCGTCGACTTTTGTTTTCTGAGGTAAGATCATGTGGCACTCAACGACCTTCCTTCTGTATCCTCCTAATTCTTTTTAAACGCACAGAACTATCTGGCTGAGTCACTCCCAGAGAGAGAGAGAGAGAGAGAGAGAGGGAGAGAGAGAGAGAGAGAGAGAGAGAGAGAGAGAGAGAGAGGGGGGGGGAGAGGGGAAAGGAAGGAAATAAGCACAAGCAATACAAAAGTACAGATGACAGACGGCACTATCAGGTAGCAGAACGAGTCAACAGAGTCCTTCGTGATCACGCACCGAACACCGCAGTTCCCGCTTGAAGGAAGCGGACGTGGGCATCTCCCTTATGTGAGGAGCGATGCTGTTCCAGATTTCAGGACCAGCGACGGCAAGTGTAGCCCTGTACGTATCGGTCCTGAAGCAAGGGTCAATCAAGGCTTGCTGAGCTAAGACATGACGACGCGGTCCGGCAGAACTATAAGTCATGAAGAGATCAGGAAGGTATGTTGGATTGCCGGACCGCAGTACTTGGTACATGATCGAGGCGATGGTAGATGTCCTGTAGCCTGATATCGTTAGCCAGCCAAGGTCCCGCCTGGCATCAGAAATCGGCGCATCACGAGGTAGTCCTGAGATGGACAAAGCGGTAACGCAGAAAAGCCGCGTCGCCATCTTGATCGATCTCCTTCGTGACGATGCCATGGAGGTTTTCAACTAATTCACGGTTACAGAGAATAAAAAAAAAAGATGTTTTGAATGATGTGTTGGTCAAATTTGAAAAATAGTGCTTACCCAAGGCGAACCAAACAGTCGAGAGGTTCAATTGTAACCAAATAGAACAGAAAGAGGCGGAAAATTTTGATTGGTTCCTTACAAATTTGCGTACAGCAGCAATAACGTGTGACTTTGGAGACCAAAAAGACAGTTTCATTCGCGACAGAATAATCTGTGGGATTCGCGACAGAATTTTGTACAAATACTGCTGAGAGAACCAGATATTACATTGGAACGAGTCATTGACATGTGCAGAGTTAATGAAGTGACCGAAAGACAAGTGAGACAACTGCAAGAGAATCGGGATGTGAATGCGTCGATGAAAAACAGAGTGATGAAACCGAGTGAAGAGCGAGAAACCCAAGCAGCAGCTTTTAAGCAGCAGAGAGTTGTTTGTAAATACTGTGGCTACACACACGTACTGAGAAAGTGCCCAGTGTATGGGATGACGTGTGACAAGTGCAAAGGAATAAATCATTTCGCTAAGAAATGCAAAAAACAGCGTTAACGAAGTGACAGGTGAAAATTTCGTGACTGAAAGTGTGAGTGACTATGACAATGACAATTTCGTGATCAGTGAAGTTAGAAAAAACGTAAATGACAATGAAAGAACGTGGTTTGTGGATTTTAAAATCAACGGAAAAGTTATCAAATTCAAAATAGACACGGGTGCTGAAGTTAATATTATCACAAAGAAACTACTGGACGATTTGAAAGTGACAGTGCAAAACACGAAGACGGTGTTGACGTCATTCGATGAATTTGCGTTGCAACCCCTGGGTGAATTGAATCTGCTCTGTTCAAAAAACGTTGGACTTGAGAGAAACTTGAATTTTATTGTTGCAGATGTGTCATCGACCCCACTGCTAGGTCTCCAGAGTTGTAAAGAGCTGCATCTGGTCAAAAGGCTGGATACTGTGACGATAAACATACTCCGAAGTAAACTCGACGACGAGTTGAAAGAGGTTTTCCCTGGCGTAGGAATGCTTCCTTTCGATTATCACATACAATTGTCGCCAGACGCTAAACCAGTCGGGCATGCGCCGAGAAAAATCGCGTTTGCACTGCAAGCAAAACTGAAATCTACGCTCCAAGAGCTAGAAAAACGAGGAATCGTTGCCGAAGTTGACAAACCTACTGAGCGGGTGAGCAGTCTAGTCATTGTAGAGAAGAAAGACGGCTCTCTTCGCATCTGTCCAGACCCGAAAGACCTGAATCAATACGTCATGAGGGAGCACTTCAGGATGCCAACTGTTGAGGATATCGTAGTCTAGATGAACAATATGACAGTTTTCTCAGTGCTGGACATGAGAGATGGTTTCTCGCAAGTAAAACAGGATGAGAAGAGCTCCGATTTGTGTACATTCAATACTCCATTCGGAGGATATAAATTCCGAAGACTTCCATTCGGATAATGTTCATTACCCGAGGTCTTCCAGAAAAGGGTAATGCACACTTTCGGCGATATCAAGGGAGTCTTCATGGTCGCGGATGACTTAATCATCGCGGACACACTCTCCAGAGCATCGTTGAGAGATCCGATACGTGATGACACTGATCTGGATGAGGTGGTACACTCAGTGAGCAAGAATTTGGCTATCACACCGACCAAGAGGGCAGTAATGTAAGAAGCTGCTCGAAGAGACGACGTACTGCAGAAATTAATCCACTACTATCAACACGGCTGGCCAGAATACATTCAGAACGTGACATTCGAGACTCGTCCGTACTGGAATTACCGGTACGATATCTCTGTAAGCGACGGACTGGTCTTCGTGGAAGATCGACTCATCATTCCATCATCGCAAAGGCCGGAGATGCTCAAACAGCTCCACAAGAATCACTTCGGGGAGGAGAAGACTAAGAAGATCACCAAAAGTACACTATTCTGGCCAGGTTTGTCTAAACAAATCGAAGAAATGGTCTCCAGCTGCTTTGTATGTCAACAATTTCGTAGAGTCAGTCAGAAGGAGCCTCTCTAGAGTCATGCCATTCCGCCAAGACCATGGACCAAAGTTGCAACAGATATCCTGGATTTTCGTGGCTGTACATACTTGGTAGTCATTGACTACTTCTCCAAGTGGCTTGAACTTCGAAAAATGTAGAGGAAGACAGCTAGTGAAGTCATTGAGACGATGAAAAAGATATTCTCTCGATTTGGGGTACCAGAGAAGGTGGTATCGCACAACATGCCGTTTGGTAGTGCAGAGTTCCACTCGTTTGCGGTTGAGTGGGACTTTAAGATAACCACGTCAAGTCTTGCATATCCACAATCCAATGGGAGGGCAGAACAGGGAGACCAGATTGGTGAGAATATTCTTCGAAGAGCATCTACGGGTAAAGCGGATTTATCCACGATGTTGCTAGACTATCGGAACACACCGGTGAAAGGCATGACGTCCAGTCCTGCGTAACTGTGTGCTGGCAGAAGACTTCGTACAAAGATTCCCGTGCTAACGAGCAAGCTTAATCCTAAAACTGCACCAAAAACAGGCAACGCAGAAGTTCTACTATGACAGATCAGCCAGACAACTGCCAGAATTAAACGTGGGTGATAAGATTCTCTTGCAGAGACACAATACAGTTGAATCGGCAATGGTGACAGCTAAACATGACGCTCCGAGGTCATTTATTGTGGCTTCCACGGATGGCGGTGAATATCGACGAAACCGTCGTCATCTGCTCAAACTTAAACATGAGCGAAAGTATTATCGTGAAGAGATAATACTTTGAATACCTGAATACCCGGTAGACCTGAACCAATAGACCAACAGAGGTTGCTGGTCAGACTTCGCAAGCTGCTGATATTCCTGATCGTCCTGAGGTTCCGGATTCTCCACCGCTTGCAGTTCAAGTGCCACATGCTGGGCGATCGCCCGTCTCTCAGCCGATTTGCGACCGTCAACTGGTTGACAGCAGTCCAACTTTGCCAAAGGGCCCAGTACTGAAACCTAGGGCCAATCTCAAAGTGCCAACGCGTTTCAAAGACTTTGTTGTTGAAAAATAGTCTATCACTCTTTTATATTTTATTTTGTATTTCAAAGATAAAAGGGGGGATGTGGCAGACGTTAGTTTGAGTTCTATATCCGCTTGGTGCTGCGAGTGACACACACGTACTAGGGGATCTATATATATGTAGTGAGGCAGTTTTCAATGCCGACACTAAACTGAGAATGTAACCTACTATTTTCATGACAATAAATCTGATGATTGCAAGATAACACACTATAAGATACAGTACTCCCTCCCAAGACAGAAAGAATCATTTCTTGTGCTTCAGCGGCAGTTTTTCCAAGTTGGAAGTTGAAAAGAAGGCAGTGCCTCGAGTGCTGCTTGTCGAACGACATTTTTATTCACTATGTTTTTTGAGGTTGTGTTAATCACATCACAATCGGACTTGAGTGGTTTGATAGTTCACAGCTGGTGCTTCAAAACGTTGTTTATTGCGGGGAATCCTTTTTAATTCAAATAGGTGTTCCGATCAATTTAATCTAGGGGCCGAGAATTAATTTATAAACCTAATATGAACTTTCCAGGCAGGGATATGGAAAAAGTTTGTATGTTGCTTCCTGATGAGCGGGAAGAAAGCGAATACTTTCTGCTCAAGGGTGAAAAGTTATTCTCGATGGAGGAAATTACTGACTTACCACCCTTGGGCGGAAAGTAGTCAGTAATTTCCTTGCAAGAGAGCAAGTTTCCACCCTAGAGCGGAAAGTACTTTCCTCCCGCTTGACAGGGAGCAAAGTACGAACTTTCCGTGCAGGGGTGTGAAAAGGATATTTCCATGAAAAAGAATAACTCAAAGATGCAATCATTAAAAATTTCAGAGATCGTTGATGCCTGTGCGGCCATTCCGACTCTTCAGATGGGTGAATCTACTCCAAACGTTGCTACGGATATGGACATAATTTCCTACAGGATCCCTCTGGGTGTAACTGCATCAATCGCTCCATTCAACTTTCCAGCTATGATTCCACTCTGGTCTTTTCCTGTATCTGTTGCCTGTGGGAATGCTACCATTTTGAAGCCTTCTGAAAGAGTTCCGGGGGCCTCTATGATTCTGGCTGACTTATTTACCAAAGCTGGAGCGCCTCCAGGTCTTTTAAATGTTATCCATGGACAGCATGAAGCTGTAAACTTCATTTGTGAACATCCAGACATCAAGGCCGTATCTTTTGTTGGGTCTGATCCCGCTGTGAGTGTTGAAAAATTATTTTTCATACACCTGGACGGAAAGTTCGTACTTTGTTCCCTGATGAGCGGGAGGAAAGTGAGTACTTCCCGCCATCGGGTGGAAAGTACTCACTTTGCTCCCGCTCATCAAAGAACAAAATACGAACTTTCCTTTGCAGGCGTGTTAAAAAATAGTATGTGCACCTCGGGCGGGAAAACATGACTTTTTGCCCTTGATGCACAATATACTATTCTCGACTTTGAACCCCGTAATCCATATAAAGATTGATGCGTCAATGTACGTCTCTTTTCGAAGTTGAATATTTCCGAAAATTACAGCTTTATCGATTTGTCCAAACAGTGCTGTCAAGGCCAATCCCTTGACCTTGATTATTCGTACTTTTCATCATTCTTAGGCTACTGAAAGTTATGAATTGCGTTGCTATTCACCGTGCAACGATGATAGTATCAAAAGAGCCCCGTCCTTGAGAGGTTAAATGCCTATTTTTAGCGCACTGTTTGTGAAACGGCATATTAAGGTTATTTTGTAGTCGTCAAACGCCGCTTGCAGATAGTGTGAAGTAATAATATATGTTAAGGGGGTCTGCGCTTTTCCACAATTTTTATTTCACACGAAAATCAAAGTTACAAATTTGATTTATTTTATTTTATTTTTTATTATCTTTCTACTCGTGAAATAACAAAACTTTTCATCTTCTCGAACTATCTGGAATTAACGATTGGATGATGAAGTTGACGGCCCCCAACTGATTTAATGATTGTACCGGGGCTGATGAGGTTCCAACACATGTGAAATAAGAAAATTCTATATTTTAGTACTCAACGAACATCTGGCACTGTCCCTTAGTGAAATAAATAGGATGAATGAAAAAATTGATGAAATATTTTGCCTTTCCGGATAAGGCCCAATTTTCTCGAGCAAATTCAACACGAAAGTTTGATACAAAAATTGAAAATATTCAAGCTATTATTTTGAGGTTTCTAAGAGCAAGAGATCTGTAGATGTCAAATAAGTGGTGAAAATTTCAAATTGATTAGTGAAAAACTTTTTAAAATATCTATCGAAAAGTTCTGGGAAATTCTTGGAAATTTAGTTCCGAGAAAATCGCCTGTGAACTTCCAGGTGAAGCGGGTTAGGGACTCCCGTGACATAAAGAAAAAGACGTTCAACGTCTAGCACTCTATTCACGGAGATATTATGATACAAAAAAAAATCAAATACTTACACTTAATCAGCAATTCCTGCGCCATATAATGCCCCTTCTTCTTTTTCGAAAAAATCCTGTTCTGCACATTTTCTGAATGTTCTGAATCCCGTTCTGAATTTTTCTGCGACTCTCTTCCGTAGTTTAGTTGCTGATGCACTTGCGAATGATGTGTTACCTACTTTGGTATACTTATTACCACGCAATTTACGTTTTTTCCCTCGCGCATTATTATTGGGACTTGACCGGGATCCTTTTCTGTCCATTATTGTTTCGAGAGTTATGCTACAAAAATCAACTACTCTGTTCGAGCGTTTGGAATAGACTGAAGTCTATTCCAAACCAAATTATCCGGAAAATTCATTGCCAATAAATTTTAAGGTCATTGGTATGAAGACTATCGAATATCAACAGTTTTCCAGAGGAACTCCCCTCCCCTATTATCCAATCTCGCACGTTCCCAACCGAGAGGAACCGCTGAAAGACTCTATTGTTATGTTGCAACCATAGTGCACCTGCCTACCTGTACGCGCTCGGCTTTGGGGCTGTTACTTCGTCAATATTCGGAATTTCAGGAAAATTCTTTTTCTACATTATTTTAGAATAGTAATAGAATGATCAAATGTAAAAAAAATCGATTTTTCGACCCAGGAAAAAGCGAAGACCCCCTTAATTCAAGTGCGATGGGTTTTTCAAGACTGTGGAGTTGGAAGTCCGAGGCGAAGCCGAACGCCGCCAATTATACGAGTTGAAAAATCTGCATTCCACGTGTGTAGAACTATATTGTTTGTGATCTTGCGTTTAGCGAGCGCCGAACTGCATCTTTTTTGGATTACAAGTAAGCGAAAAGGCAATTTTTGGCATGGAATGCACGTGGCAGGAATGGCAAAATAGTATGTTTCGTCATTAGGCTGAAAACGAGGGGGTAATCACTCCAAAAAAACTTGTGCATCAGATTTCAAGATTTCAATATTTCAAGGAATTCACAAATATTTTTTGGGATTTCAAGGGATTTCACGAGATTTCAAGGAAATTCTGAGAAATTAGATATAATTTCAAGCTACTAAATTAAAATTTCAAGATTTCGGAAAGTTTTGAGAGAATTTAACAAACTCATCGACAAAGTATGAGATCAGAACTCGAGTGTTATTTGCTTGATATTTTTGCGCGTTCATTCAATTTTCATGACAAACATTCGAATATATCCCAGATTATAAGAAAAAAAATCTCAAACCTGTGGCTGTCTATGGCAGAGAATGTGGATGAATTTAAAAAAAAAGCTGTATCGAATGAGGTGAATGGCTTTGTCTTATAAATCATTCGCTGAATTCACGTGCTACTCAAGCAAAAGACAGTCAGCGCCGCGCCTTTCTCGTAACAGGCAAGAGTCTTATTTTATGACTTATTTTGCCTGTCAGCTGATCAGCGCCACTCTCTCAGAGAGCGATATCACTGTACAATTTTCGAACTTCAGATATGTTGAAGCATGTCCTGAAATCTAACACGAAATGTGAGAACAATAACTGTGAATGAAAATTCAACAAAATGAATGACAAACAGGTATGTAATTTCGTATGTATTCGAAGTGTAATTACTGAACAGAAAACATTCCCGTGTCAGTCGTCCATTCACAGATATGGGAAGCAACAGTGGCAAATTGTTCCAATGGATATTCTTTGTGACGTATTTTCTTACCTCTGCGGACGGTGAAAAATACGCAGCCCTCAGCGACCAAACAACGAAAAGAAAGTTGGGCGCCAGCACGGGTGAACCGTGCAATTAAAACAACAAATTAAATCGACAATTATTCGAGACAAAAGAACAACCTCCGACAGCTCAGACAACCGCGGTGGCGGCTGGGTTCTCGATACAAATGGTTGTTCTGAAGTTTCCGAAATGACTTGGTTTTCTTATCTAACAAATTATATAAAAAATTCAATAATCCGGGGAATAAATAATTTATTCAATAAACCCCCTTGTTCATTTCAATTCGAATCCCCCCTCAGAAAATTAATAACACAAATATTCAACAAAAGCTAAAGACTCGATACACTAGAAAATCCCTAACCAATGATTAGTCAAAATAATAAAATACTAGTCAGTCAAAAGAATAAGTTCAGTCAAAATTACAAAATCATGAATAAAGTCAAACTGTAGAAATGACTAGCGGAAATAAAGTCAAATAATATCACTGAATGGGAAGTTAATTTTCCGATAGAATATACTGTCAAAATATCCCAAATCGAAGAGGTGACTGACATCGACAGCGGCAACTGAAATTGCCTCGGAACAGACAATACAAAAGGTGACCGCAATCAAGGTCAGATACGAATCACTCGAGCGTTGACAAGACGCTACAATTTCAACTGCCGATGCAATGACGAAATGATACGACAACTTCAAATATCGAAAACAAAAGTAATTACCGAAAATTTCGAATATCAATGTAGTTCTCAAAATCAGTTCAAAACTAAATACATTATTTGAAACGATTTGTTCTACCGATTCCTCATCCGATCGGCAAACAAACCGTTGAAACGAGAGTCAAAATCCGTTCAGAGAAACCACTGAATTCCCGAGATAATCGAACATCTCAAATCACAATATAATATCAAAATCATACGTCCAAATTAAATTATACAAAAGAGCTAACCTCTGCCGAACAGACGATAAGAACTCGCCCCGAAAATCAAAAGACTCTAATGGCGTCACTTCGCCCGACGATAAGCGTCGTCAAAAATTGCACAAGCTAATGAGCGAATTCTAATCGTTATCGATATAAAACAGATACAAAATGATATACAAAATGATATTTCTGGAATTCTTCTTCCGCTCACCACAATCTCCAACGAGTCTAGTCCAGGAGCCAGGGCGAAGGATTCTCCAAATAATCCAAATCCAGTCAACGCTGGTGTCCACAACAAGATGAATTGCTCCGACAGCAAGAGGTTCTCCACAGAACAACAGCTCGCCCGCCACCCAAACGAGAAGTGAGGCTAAAACCCACGCTTCTCCCATGCGTTCGGGACACTTCCCGCCAATCGAACCCCATTGGCCAGGGCCGTTCCATGAGCCGCTCTGATTGGTTGTAACCCAACCAAACCAGACTTATTCTCCAATAAACACTCAGCTGTGTGACAACGTCACCAAAATAGGGAATAAATATCCAATTCCTTTTCCCTTTATTTCGTATCATTACCGGACGTCTAACTTCAGTCCGATAATTTCTCTCGCACTGCCTAAACCATCATTTCCGGTTAGGCGAGGAGATCCAAAAATGGCCTCGCAAATCTCGGCCGATAACTGCCTTCGTCCCGTCACCGTCGACAAATGGCGCCGCCGGTGAACTGCACTCGAGCTATCCCTCCAACGCGGGAACTCGATCCAAATACAAAAGCACCTCTTTTACCACATAACGACTTTCTGGAGTTTCCCCCTTCCCAGCTCCCTGGAGACCTGACGTCCGAGGCTGCCGAAGTCCCTATATGTGGCTCGATACAATAACAAAAAAAAATAAAAAACCAAAGCATTAGTCAGAACCCCAAATAAACCCTTTTGACTCTCGCTTCGCAGTGATGACTTCTCGTCTGGATGGTAAATTTCACCGTTGAACGGTCGAAATAAAATAACACGTTACACCTTATACTCACTATTCGATGTTGTTCATTTCCGCAATTTACCAACACTACTGTTGAAAAATGAGCAAAGCCCGCCAAAACCATTGTATTGATTATTATTGTATATGGTTTATATCCTCTCAATGTCACGAATTGCATGGAAAAATAACAACGATATC